ATATTTTTAAAAAATATTATTGTGGATTGTTTCTGTAAAAGATTACCACATACTATTTAGGTTGATTATTCTTTGCTTCTGGTTCAGAATATTATCTACTGTATTTTTGTTCTCATATTTTTTGGCATTCCTCCAGTATTGAGCTGGGCTCCTTTGGCATATGGCATGATACATTTTTTTTTACATTTTCCATTTAATTAAGGTAAAGTTAAAGATTTGGAAAAGCTGACGAATATTATTATCTTTGCAATTAGACTGATTTTGGTAAGAGTTTGTGCTTGGATGTGAACTAAAAATAGAAATAAAGAAATCTATAATTATCTTAATGTTTAAACCTCTAACTATGCAAAACCTCATGCCAGTTAAAGAAAGGTTTCCAAAGGCAGCAAATAAGTTAGGACCGCAAAGACTGCCATACAATCATCCCATCATTTATTCTGTTTATTTACAATAAATAAAAAACTATTGTCTGTTCATTTCCAGTTACACACAGAGAAAAAGAAAAAGAAAAAGTAAAAGAAAAGGATAAAGTAAAAGAAAAAGAAAAACCTGAAAAGAAAGGTATGCTGTTTTTTCTTATTGCTGTTTTTACACATCGGTCCCACCCTGTTTGACCTCTCCTTCGTCACATCAGATTTTAGATGACCATAAATGTATGTTTTTAATTATATTATGATAATTTCATTAGAATTGAATCTGAAAGCAATTTCTAGGTTAAACGAAATAATATACTTAAGACTCTTGAACTCTATTCCCAGTTTATTGTCTAGAAATGTTGTATCAATTTTTTCCCAGGTAGTTTTGAGACTGCCATAGCCAACAAAGAAAATGTTATTTCAATGAATATTTGCCAATTTGATAGGTAAAAAGCATACTTCATTATTTAACTTTCATCCTTTGATTACCTGTTATACTGGGCTTTTATTTTTTTTTTAATTTATCTGTTTAGAATGTGCGATGCAGACTCATTGTTTAATACATAAAAATACATTGTGAAAAGCTTCTTCTTGACTTGCTCCCACCTCTAAGTCCCCATTCCATCTTTCTTATTTATACGTACATACAGTACATCACTTTTATGAGTTTTATTATGAATTTATAAGATATTATAGATTATTGTTTCTCCTTATTTTTTACACAAAATTTAGCATGTCCTATACTCTGACTTTTATAATTTATCAATATGTCATAGAGATCTTTCCATATCAATAAATAGATATTTTCATTCTCTTAAAGAAAAACTATTTTAATACAGATATTTTCTTCCACTTTATCTTAAACCATTTACTTATAGATTGAAGGATTTAAGTATGAGTTTTAGCAATGTGTATTTCTTGTGTATCTGTTAACACTCATTACCCGTTTCTCCTGATGATATGTGTTCATGTCATTTGGGTACATATCCCTGGTCTGTCACTCTTTCAAATATTTTTCTCTGTTACTTTTTTAGTTAACGTTAGGGTTTTTGTCTGTGTGGATAGACATTTGTGTGTGTGTATGTGTGTGTGTGTGTGTGTGTGTGTGTTTAGAGTCTTGAATTTTTATGTGTCTGGATATGTTGATAATTTATTTTAGTATTTCTGCTTTTAAATCTTTATCCAAAGATTAAATCAATAGTTACTCAATATTTTCCTCAAGTTTTAAAAAATGTTTTGTATTTTACATTTAACTTGAATTCATCAAAAATACATTTCAATGTATAATGTGAAATAAAATTCAAATTTAATGTTTTGCTCTTGTTTTAGAGTGGCTTATGTCTAAGATACATGGATTAGATTTTAGTGGATGTACATGTCCACAATATGCATAGTCCGCTGAGTTATCTTGTTTTGTGAAACATTCTACTTAGCCAGAATGTTTTATGATATTTAAGAATCAGGTCAGTTGAAACATGCTTCAATCTTCTTTACTATATACTCATACTTGAAAATTTGAATTAAATAATTGTTTCATTACTGTTTACTTAGTGATAATATCCATGAATTTCAATACAGCCATCTTCTTTATTTTTAGAAACAGTTGCCCGTTTCCTGTCGCTATTGAGTTACACAGAATTATTAGAATCAGATTTTGTGTACTCTGATTAAATAAAATAATCTGATATTTCTTATGGTTTTTTGAAACCTTCACAGTGGCTAAATATTTTTATTAAAAAAAATATTGAGAATTTGTTGCACTTTCAGAGGACATGAAGGGACATTTCTCTAAAGAGGACACACAGATGGCCAACAAGCATATGAAAAAATGCTCAACCTCACTAATCATCAGAGAAATGCCAATAAAAAGCACAGTGAGATACCACCTCACTCCAGTCAGAATGGCTATCACCAATAAATCAACAAACAACAAGTGCTGGTGAGGATGTAGAGAAAAGGGAAACCTTGTGCACTGTTGGTGGGATTGCATATTGGTGCAGCCACTATGGAAATCAGTATGGAGGTATCTCAAAAAACTGGAAATGGCACTACCTTATGACCCAGCAATTCCACCCCTAGGTATCTATCCAGAGAAATTCAAGATGCTAGTTTGAAAAAATATATGCACCCCTATGTTTTTTGCAGCTCTATTCATAACAGCCAAAACATAAAAACAACCGAAATGACCACTGGTAGACGAATGGATTAAGAAACTGTGGTACAGAAATGTTCTTTGGCTAAAAAATATTTCTAAGCCATTGTTCTATGATCTATAAACTTTCTTTTATTAACATCTGTAACTTAAAGGAATTTCAAGGGCACTATTGTTGTTATGTGATTATGGACCTTTGTAAAGACAATTGTAACTGAAAAGTAAAATAGAAGAAGATCCCTGACACATAAAAATTAAAGTTGGCTATACTCAACTCCAAAAAAAAAAGAAAGAAACTGTGGTATGTTTATACAATGGAATGACTATTCCTCAGCTATAAAGAAGAATGAAATATTAACCATTCACAACAATATGGATGTACCTAGAGAAGATTATGCTAAGTGAAATAAGTCAAATGGAGAAAGACAGTTTGTTGCCCTTTAATTATAAATGTTGAAGGAAATTTGTCCAAATTGAAAAGCAGAAACAAAATGCTCCATTTTAATTGTCTTTTTATTTACTGTACATCAATTAAAGGAGTTTATTTTATATGATTTAAATTATTATGCTGTAGCTCCGTGACCTTGTGTGAACTGTGCCCTGCTTAGCCTGGCATAGTGCTCCTTCAACTATTGTCCAATGTATTACCCATAACCCCAAATGTTATTGAAGGTGGCTGTGGGGCAAACTGAGACACATGGAGGCTGAAATCCTGGAGGGAAAGCAGGTGCTATCTCGGTAGCTCTGCAGCTACCAAGATCGATTAGTCTTCAACTGGACCTTGTACTTTAAGCTTTCAATGAGGCTTAAATTATCTCTGAAAGATTCAGGGGAAACCACTCAGTCTATTTTCTTTTCTATTTTATAGACATTTTCTCATTTGATCTATTTTTTATTAAATTTACTGGGGTGACATTGGTTAATAAGACTATATAAATTTCAAGTGTACATTTCTATAATGCATCATCTGTATACAGCACAGTGTGTTCACCACCCAAAGTCCAGTCTCTTTCCATCACCATATTTTTGACCCCCTTTACCCTCATCTACCTCCACCAACCCCCCTTCTCTTGTAGCCAGTGTTGTCTTTGTCAATGAGTTTTTTTGTTTGTTCATTTGTTGTTTCTATTTTATATCCCACATATAAGTGAAATCATATGGTTCTTGCCCTTTTCCATGTGACTTATTTCACTTAACCTAATACTCTAAAGATCCATCCAAATGGCAGTGTTTCATCCTTTCTTATGTTTGAGTAATATTCCATTGTATATATGTACCACATCTTCTTTATCCAATCATCCATCAAAGGACACTTGGGTCGTTTTCATGTCTTCTCCACCATGAATAATGCTGCAATTAACATAGAAGTACGTATATCTTTACAAATGAATGTTTTCAAATTTGTTACGTAGATACCCAGAAAAGCGATTGCTGGGTCATATGGTAATCCTATTCTTAATTTTTTGAGGGACCTCCATATTGTTTTCCATAGCAGCTGCACCAATTTACATTCCCACCAGCAGTGTATGAGGGTCCGTTTTCTCCACATCCTCTCCAACACTTCTTTCTGGTCTTGTTGATAATAGTCATTTTAACAGTTGTGAGGTGGTGTCTCATTGTGGTTTTGATTTGCATTTCCCTAATAGCTAGTGAAGTTGAGCATGTTTTCATATATCTGTCAGCCATTTGTACGTCTTCTTGGAAAAAGTGTCTGTCCAAATTCTCTGCCCATTTTTTAACTGGATGGATTTTTTGTTGTTTAGTTGCATGAGTTTTTGTTAATATATGTTGGATTTAGCCTCTTATTGGAGGTATTATTTGCAAATATCATTGACTGTATTTCAAAAGAACAGTTCTTAAACATATATTGTAAGCATACTTCCCTCTTTTTATAGTACAAGTAAAGCTGATAGACATAACTATTTTATTGTTGGAGAAATGGAAGGAATTAGGGCTCCAATTTTTTACTCTAATAATTTGGCTCTTTTCTTAACCCAACTATTAAATATATGTTAAAATTTAATTTTCTATAATTTCTTTAATTTTCATTATTTGTCTTTAGTAAATAACATGTAAATGTCAAAATGTATGGTGACTTGGGAAACTACCAAACCAGGCAGTTTAATATATTTTAACTATAAAAATAAGCTGCACATGCTGTTTTACTTCTCAGGACTCCTTTGCTTAAACAACTGCTTATTAGTCTATGTAAATAAAATAGACATTAATAAAATAAATTCATATTGATATATTAATTTATTACATAGGCAATGAAAAGATACAATGTTTCTGGTATCATGTTGAATGTTGTTCAATTAAAAAGCTGCACTGAGGCAGTAATCCTTTATGACGACTTTATTTTCTATTGGTAGTTCTCATCCAAAGGTGCTATCCCTAGGAAGTATTTTGGGGAAAAAAATTTGATTGTCAAAATGTCATTGGAATCAATTGCACTTGGTAAGCAGCGACCAGAGAAACTAAGCATTTTGTCAATGCATAAGACAGTTCCATATACTGAGACCAACAATTTCTCATTTTTGAGAAATACTGTGTTTAATCAAAGCTCTAGTCCTGATTTCAATGCTTCTTTTTATTAATCCTAATGAGAGTGCCTCTTTCTGATAAAATGATATATCTTTCAACTAATTCTTATAAAATTTTTCTCTCTTAGCTTGTATTTCTTTAAAACTTTATCTTTTTGGAATAATAACTTTAAAGGGGAAGGGGGACTAGCTTTCAAAATGCTTTCTAAGTCTTGATGTCACATCTTAAAACTTGGACTCTATTTGGTTATTATTACTTTAGTAACTATTCCTGAATTAGGCTCATTAATGTCATCAATCCTCAAAATAGCTCATGATTTTGGTGGTTATAAAACTGACGTAAAGAGAAAGCTTGGTCTTGAAATCTATTTAAAGGGTGTACTAACATAACATTTTCTGTTTAAGCAACTCACAAGGAAAAAATTGAGAAAAAAGAAAAACCAGAAACAAAGACAGTGGCAAAAGGTAACGTTTCCCTTTATTATTTCTGTAACTAAATTATTTTTTCTTCTAAATTGCATTTTGGGTAATAGCTAGTGATTGTAAGCATTTAGTGCTTCCTTTACATAAAAATAAATTAATTTGGCCTTACATTTAAAATTTAATATCAAAAGAATAATAAAACTGAATACTGCAAGTAAGACAGCAAGTCGATTTGAGAGGAAAATGAAGAGCAGAATTTTGGCCCCCACGACTTTCATCCCTTGGTGTCATCCCAGTGACTATGTTACATTACATGACCAAAAGGAGTTTGCAGAAGTAGTTATCATACCTGGATTATTCTGGGTCATCCAGGTGGGCTCAATGTAATCTCTTGCACCTTTGAAAGCATCAAGCTGTGGCAAAAGGGAAAGAGAGATTTGAAGTGTGAGAAGAACGTGCCCCCTGTTGCTGGATTGAAAATTGAGGGGTACACCTGGAAAGCGTGAGAAGAATTCTGCCAACACGTTGAATAAGTGCGGAAGCCAACTCTTCCCCAGAGCCTACAGCAAGAAATGCAGCCCCGTTGACAGCTTGATTTCAGCCTTGTGGAGCCTAAACAAAGAATGCAGTTGAGCCACATTGTGCCAAAGGTTTTGAACCATGGAAACTAGGAGATGTTACATGAATGTTGTTTTACGAAACTAAGTTTTTACTATAGCCATAGGAAACAATCACAACATATCTGGTTTACAGCTTTTGACCAGTATTACACCTTCAGTTTGATTTTAAAAGACTCAAATTCAGGATTTCTTTCTTTTTTTCTTTTTTCAAGAAGGAAAGGTTATGCATGCACCCTGATAGATATTGTAGGCCACTGAAGACCCAAAGTGTCTTAATAATACACCAAAAAAAAAAATCAATTAGACTATCAATGTAATGTTACCTATTTTGGAGGGTTGCATGAATCAGCTTTTACTATTTGAAATTTGTCTACAAATTTTTTGATGTTAGAAAAATATGGATTCTAATAGTTCAATCTTAACTACTAAATTTCCTCCTCATATTCTAAAATATAGGTTTTATGTGATCAGTATATTTTAGAAATTTTAATCCAGTATTTTTAAGGGACTAACAATTTAAATAAAAATGGGAATCTATTTTCAAAATCCAATGTGTTTATCTATACAATGCAAAATAATTAGATATTTACAAAAGGCAGCTATACATTTTACCAATTCTTTCAATGAGATAATCAAATATCATTTTATTGAAGTTGAGATGGATGAATTATAAAATGAGATGCTGTTTCCTAGAAGGTACCATGAACTTAGTCTCAGGAGGAAATTTATAACTAAATACATGTTTTTTATTCTATTTAGTTCTCTTCTTTAAACTATGTCAGAATGAACTATTTCATTCAAATCTTTGTCAGATTTGAGTGAAAATAAATTTATGAGTTGATATATATATATATATATATATGAAATTATATGTACATGTATATATCAAATCTTAAAGCTAGAAGGAATGTTAGAGATGATCATCCCAATTAATTACCTAAGTTAACAGGTGAAACAACTGACCTAGAGGGAGAGAAAATAATTTGGCCAAATCATCTAACTAGTATATAATTGCAGTAAGGCAAAACTTCGAGTATACTGAGTGTGAATCATGCATTCCTTCCAAATATAATTAAATTAATTATTCATTTATTTATTCAACAAATACTTATTTAATACTGTATTTATTATTTATTGCTGTGTAAAAAAGTTAACAGAAATTGACAGGCTAAAGTCAACACACATATACTATCCCATTGTTTCTGCAGGCCAAAAATCTAAACATGGCTTAGCTCAGTACTCTGCTTCACAATGTCGCACAAGGCTGCAGTCAATGTATTAGACAGGGCTGTAATCCCAACTGAAGGCTTAACTGGGGAAGGATCATTTTCAGTTCATCTGGGGAAGGACCATTTCCAGATTCATTTGCTTGACTGTTGGCAAGATTCAGTTCTTCAAGGCCTGTTGAATGAGAGTCTCAGTTCTTTCTGGCTGCTGCCTGGAGACCATCTTCAGTTCCTTGCCACATGAGCCTCACTAATATGGCAGTGGGCTCATCAAATCTAGCAAGAGGGAACATCAGCTAACAAGAGAGAAATAACAATCTTATGCAGACGAGTCATGGAAGTCACATACTGTTAGTTAGCAGTAGATTTCTAGGCCAGCCTATATTCAAGGGAAGAGGATTACCAGAAGGTAGAGATCATTGGGGCCATGTTGAGTCAGCCTGACCTGCTACAGATCATGAATACTTTATTTACATGCATATATTCTTATGGGGGACATAGCTGAAAACAAATTATGGATGTATGTGCATGTGTATATGCATATATATATATGTATATATATACATATATATGTATATATGTGTATACATATATAAGTATATATATATATATGTATATATACACACACACAAACATATAATTTTCTTTTTTATTTTATATATGTTTATAAATTGTTGGAAATGTGGGAAATACATAGGAAATGTTCTTTGTATAATGGGTAATTTGAAGGAAAACGAATAAGATTAAAAAAGCATACTTTGTAGACTGTGACAATTAAGCTAGACACAAAGATAATCTATCACATTTGAAAGGCATGGCTGGAATTAGAGTAGAATCTCCCTCTGAAGACCTTTGATTACTGAGGCACTCCCAGGAGCACATGCTTCTTTCTGTTTCAAGCACAGCCTCGCCAAGGGCAGCAGCTGTCTGAACCACCTGAGGACTCCCCACTGGGAAACAATGGGCCTTTTGATGTCTATGCTGGTACATGTGTAGGACCTCATATCCACTGTGAAAACTAGCCTATTTCCATAGTTCATTAAAAGTAAAGACAGGGAAGAAGAAGAGAATGACAGGATGCTCTACCAAACTTTCTGCAGCAAGGAATATTATCATACTCATCTCTAGAGCTCCAGAAAATAGCTCCGAGCCCAGGCCATTAATAGACTCTATGGAAGAGTTTGTTAGATAAACATGTGAGTTGTATGTATCTGAGGTACTATTGGCCATCTCCGTGGAACTTTCTCTCCAGACAGAAACTAATAAATATTTGGATGCAGTTCCAGAGTGATGTTGATTTAAAGTCACTTGCACAGAGCTGATGGTTTCAGCCACAGAAATGAGTCTGCAGTAGGAAAGAGCAGAAACCAGAAAAAGAGGTTAAGAAATGGTTTAAAGGAATTAGAAGAAACCCCCAACTGAAGATAGTCACAAAAGCCACAAAGACCTTGGAGGTTTGTGGAGTGATTGGGTGATTTTCAGATCAGAGTTTTGTGGTTAAGTAACATTGGAAATCAATGCATAGCATAATCCTCCTCCTTGAAGATTATCAATACACTATAGCTTTGAGAAATCCATATTAGAGAATCTGGTTTCACGTACTATTTCTAAATTTATTTGATCATAGGAATATACCCCTGTTGCTCACATCTCTCTGCAAAGTTTCTGACCAACAGTGCTTTGGGAGGCTTTGGTCCATTCAATTAAACGCAGTACCATAGACAATTCTGCTTTTGCAAGCATCCAGCATTATCATTTTCATACTCCTCACTGGACTTCACAATATTATCTTGACTTCTTCTCAAATCATTGCATAGTGTACTAAAGTAAAAAAATTTGATTATATTTTCATCAAATTCTTCAACATGAGTGATAATAAAGACTAGCTACTACATTGGTAAGTAACATGAAAGAATTCAACATTGTAGTACATTTACTGTGGTGTTTAGTGATTCTGTGTGAGCCCACAGACTAAAGCCCAATAAGCAGTATCTATTATAAATAGTTTTCCACAGATGTGTGCTATCTTATTATTGTTTTTTTAAATAAAAAATTTACAAACTGATTAATTCACATTTTCTCTCCCCTTCTCCCAAATACACATAATTAAAAATAATAATTAAATAATTAAAATAATTAAAAGTGTTTGTATGGAAAATATATGCAAATATATTATAACCCATATATATTATATTCTAATTTATAGCCTTTTCTGTTTACTAGGATATATTTAAGGGCTTTAAAAGTGACTAGAATTATTATTTCTGAGTTAAGATTAGCAGGGACCAATATGTCAATTTTTGTTCTCTTTTTGTCTCTTTAAAGTCAAGTCATTAGAGACTAAATGTCTCTGAGTCATCCTTTAATATATTTTGTTATTTTACTTCTATTAGTCACTACCAGTGCAAGTAATTTTACATTTACATCCCTAATATTTTCTTTAAAAATGCTTTCTTGATGGTTCAGTTTCTTGAATGACTTTTAAGGTATTTCAGTTGTGGAACAAAATAATACTATCTTTTTAAAATATCTCTTATGTTGGGCTCTTTGGTTTGGGCATGGTCTTTCATTGAACATACCTGTGCATATATCCCCTGCATATTTTTCTTAAGATTTTTATTAAAATTATAGCTAACATACAGTATTATATTAGTTTCAGGGGTACAGCATAGTTATTCCACATTTACGTATCTAAAGAAGTGATCACCATGATGAGTCCAGGAGCCATCTGACACTGTGCTATGCGATCACAATATTATTGACTATATTCCCCATGCTGTATGTTATATCCCTATGACATATTTGTTTAATACCTGGAAATTTGGACCTCTTATTCCCCTTCAACTTTTCCTCCTTTTTAAACTTTTTCAATTACAGTTGACATTTAATATTATTTTATGTTAATTTCAGGCATACAGCATAGTGGTTAGACATTTATATGATTTAAGAAGTGATCCCCCTGACTAGTCTAGTATCCAACTGGCGACTGGCACCATACATAGTTATTACCATATCATTTGTTATATTCCCTATGCTTTACTTTACATCCCCATGACCATTTTGTAACTACCTATTTGTACTTTTTTTTTTTTTAAGATTTTTATTGGGGAATTGAGGGGATGGGAACAGCGCTCGGGAATTGGGGGAAGGGGAACAGACAAGTTGCTGTCGTTTTGTTCTTCAGTCTAGTTGTGGAGGACGTTGCTTCACTGGCCCAAGTTGGCACCATCATTGCGCTCTTCCCGGGTGAGGCAGATCAGTTGCCAGCTTCTGGATGGCTGCTCATGGCGGCTGCTGGCCGCTCACGCTGGCTGCTGGCTACACACGGTAGCCCATGGCAACCCACTGCCACAGGGGCTGCAGCCCACGCCGTCGCCGGTGACTCATGGCAGTCCAGCTCCAGGTTGAGCTGTTGTTCAGCATCTTAGCTGTGGAGGGCGGCGTCACTGGCCCTCATCTGTGGGATCTGAACCAGGGCCCTCTGGCGTCCCAAGCCAACTCTTAACCATCGTGCCACTCGGCCGGCCCCTATTTGTACTTCTTAATCCCTCTACTTTTTCACCCTGCCTCCAGTACCCTTCCCATATGTCACCCCAACAGCTCTAGTACCCATCTGACACCATACATAGTTATTACAATATTATTGGCTATATTCCTTATGCCGTACCCTACAACTCCATGACTATTTTGTAACAACCAATTTGTACTTCTTAATCCCCTTCCTTTTCTCACCCATTCCCAACTCCCTTCCCAACTCAAAACCATCAAAATGTTCTCTGTATCTATCAGTTCGTTTCTGTTTTATTGTTGTTGTTGTTTATTTCGTTTTTTAGATTCCATATATAAGTAAAATCATGTTGCATCTGTCTTTCTCTTTCTGACATACTTCACTCAGCACAATACCCTCCAGTTCCAACCATGCCACCACAGATGACAAGAACCCATTCCCTTCCATGGCCAAGCAACATTCCACTGTATACATGTACCACCTCCTCTTTATCCTTTCTTCCACCCAGGCTGCCTCCATATCTTGGACATTGGAAACAATGCTGCAATGAACATATAGATGCACAGGTCCCCTCGAAGTAGCATTTTGGGTTTCCTCGGGTAAATAGCCAGAACTGGGGTTACTGGATCCTTCTTTGTCTCTTGTTATAGCCTTTGTTTTGAAGTCTATTTTGTCTGGCATAAGTATTGTTACCTCAGCTTTTTTTGTTTTGTTGTTTCTTTGTTTCCATTTTCATAAAATAACTTTTTCCATCCCTTTACTTTCCATCTTTGTGTGTCTTTCCATCTGAAGTGAGTCTCTTGTAGGCAGCATATGTAAGAGTCTTAATTTAGTATCCTTTCAGCAACACCCCCCACCACCGCCACCACCACCACCACCACCACCATGTTTTTTGAGTGGAGCATTTAATGCATTCACATTGAAAATAATTGTTGATAGAAAAAATACTGCCATTTTATTCATAATTTTGATTTTTTTTTTCTCCTGTCTTAAAGAAGTACCTCTCAGATTCCTTGTAATACTGGTTTGGTGGTGATGAACTCCTTTACCTTTTTCTTGTCTGGGACGCTCTTTATCTGTCCTTTGATTATAAATGACAGCCTTGCTCGGGAGAGTACTCTTGGTTGTAGGTCCTTGCTTTCCATCATGTTGAATATTTTGTGCCAATCTCTTCTGGCCTGCAAAGTTTCTGTTGAAAATCAGCTGACAGTCTTATGGGATCTCTCTTATAAGTTACTAGTTGCCTTTCTCTTGCTGCTTTTAGGATTTTTGTCTTTAACTCTTTTGTCTTTAGCTCTCTTTGTCTTTAATCTTTGCTATTTTAATTAAAATGTGTCTTGGGTGGGTCTGTTTAGGTTCATCTTGTTTGGGATTCTCTGTGCTTCCTGGTCTTGCATGTGTATTACCTTCGTCAGGTTAGGAAAGTTTTCAGTCATTATTTCTTCAAATAGGTTCTCAATTCCTTGCTTTCTCTCTTCTTCTTCTGGTACCCTTCTGATGTGAAAGTTGTTATGCATGATGTTTTCCCAGCGGTCTCTTAAACTATTCTCATTTTTTTGGATTCTTTTTGCTGTTTCAATTGGGTGTTTTATGCTACGTTGTCTTCCAAATCACTGATTTGATCCTCTGCTTCATCTAGTCTGCTGGTGATTCCTTCTAGTGCATTCTTCATTTCAGTTATTGTATTCTTCACTTCTGACTGTTTCTTTTTTATGGTTTCTATGTTCTCTTTTATGCTTGCTATCTCTTTGTTGAAGTTCTTACTAAGTTCCTTAAACATTCTTTTAACCATTGTTTTGAACTTTGTCTCTGGTAGGTTGCTTGCCTCCATTTTGTTTGTTTCTTTTTCTGGAGTTTTCTACTGTTTGTTCATTTGGTGTGTATTTCTTTGTTTCCTCATTTTGGCTGCCTCTCTGTGTTTGTTTCTATGTATTAGGTAGATCTGCTGTGTCTCCCAGTCTTGCCAGGTGACCTTAAGTAGTAGGTGTCCTGTGAGGCCCTGGCATAGACTCCCTGGTCACCTGCTCCGTGTACTCCAGGAGAGTTCCTTGTGATGTTTGTGGGTCTTCTCCTGTTATAGTTGAGCCTTGATTGCTATTGGCATGTCAGTTGGTGGGATTAGCCTCAGGCTGACTGACTGTGGGGTTTGGCCATATCCACAGCTTTCAGACTGCTGTGTGGTGCACTTACCCCACTGAGTTGGATTCACCTCACTGGGCTCTGGTGCTTGTTGTGACCATACATTGTGTGTGCCTCTTGTGGGGCTACTTGGGCTGTGCTCTGTTGTGGTATGAAGCCAACCTCCAATTCTGTTGGTTTTGGGGCTTCTTGGGATGGACTCCAATGCAGGCCTAAGTCACGCTCTGCCTGTGACTGACTGGGGACTACTGGTCAGAGCTAGAAAGTGATCCATGGTGTTCACTGCCTGTGGTAAAGTTGGAGACATGTGTAATAGGCCATGCTTTGAACTAAGGATGACTGCAACCAGTGAATGGCTTGGGGTAGTTCCACAAAAAAACAGGACACAACAAGGCCTGCTGCCACCTGCTGGCTCCCTTAAGGTTCAGCTACTGATAAAACCTTGTGGAGTATGTGAGTTGGGTGAGGAAGAGTATCAGGGAGTCACTAGAGTGGGAAGTATTATGGTCACCTGGTTAATGTAGATTCTGATTGGGTGCCAGTGCTGAGCTGGGAGCTACTCAGCAAAAGTCTCAGAGCACACCGAGGCCAGTTGTCACCTGCCTAGAGCCCACGGATTCTGATGGTTTTCCAAGAAAGAGTGTAATGTGGGTGGGTCTGGCTGTTTATGAAAAAAGTGCCTCTGGCATTGGTGGAGTTGGCTGGGGCAGGGTCCCAGCAGAGCTCACCAGATTAGATTTGGCCATGGGCATGAGAGGAGGACTCAACACTGAAAAGATGGTGCCCAACTTCACAGGAATAGGACCCTACACAGGGAAAATGGCAACTGTCCTCCAGCACTCGCCCAAAGCCACACACCTCAGTCTGCCCCCCATATACCTCCAACGTCCCCTGGGTCACCATCCCTCCACCAGAGCCCAAGGTGAGTGCCTGGGAGTGAGAAAGTCTGTGTACAGGCTGTTTTAAGAGGACGTCTGGGTTTCCTGCAGCCTTCCATCCCACCTGGATTGTGGAATCCCCAATGTTTTTCACAGCCAGGTTTTATGAGGGCTCCTCTTCCTGGTACCAGTACTCCAGGCTGAGGAGCCTGGTGTGGGACTGGGCCCTTTGCTGCTGCTGGGGGAAACCTCCACAGCTGAGATGCCCCTCCTGATTCTCAACTGCCACACAGTGGACTGGGGCCAGCCAGGTTCACATCTCTGCCCCTCCTGTCATTTCTACATGGCTTCTTTTTTATATTCTTAGTTATAAAACTTTTGTTCAGTTAGACTTCAGATGGTCCTCCAGGTTGAGTTTTCTATAATTTACTTGTAACTTTAATGTGTTCATGGAATAAAGCACACACAGTGTTTATCAACTTCGCCATCTTGGATCTCCCTCTTAAGTCCATTATGATATTCTCTCCTGCATGTTTCAAATGCCTCCTGGTTGCCATGCTAATGTTCTGACTTCCTAAAAAATGGTGTTTTCATGTATAAATTAAGAAAGAGCCCAACTTGTAAGTAAGCTAATTTTTTTTTAGTACTTTAACATGGCACTTCATAAAGTATATACAAGTCAGATAATAGTATTGTGTCAAGTATTTATATCAGAGACACACTTTTTCTTTTTTGTTTCTTTTAAAATTGTTCTTAACAACTAATGAAAGATGAAATGCCGTGTTGGTAAACAAACAAAAATAACTCAACTTTTCTTAAATCTATACAGAAGAGAAAAAAGCTAAGACGAAGGAAAAGACTGAAGAAAAAACTAAAAAGGAAGTGAAAGTTGGGAAACAGGAGAAGGTGAAGCAAACAGCTGCCAAAATAAAAGAAGTACAGAAAACATCACCTAAATCCAAAGAGAAGGACGAGAAAGGGACAGCAGCTGTGTCCAAACATGAAGGTAAACACTCAGAGGAGGCAGCTGCAGGTTCTAAGACAATATTGGGCAAGAAGCAGATGCAGTGAAATTTCAATCTGAAAAAGACGAGATCAGACATCAAATGGGAGAAAAAGACTTGTATAAGTAAAAATACCTGAAAAGGAATACAATAAATTGGGAATGAAAATATATTTATAGAAATACTCATATGTGTTCACATAAGTAAAGATGCATTTTGAAGTATTTTTAAATAGGATTTGAGTTAACCTCTGTGATTATTTAAAGATTGGTGATGTGTTGAATATATAAAACATGGGATTTTTATTAAGAGGTGGAACAAAAATTATATGTGTTCTGCTCTTTGGAAAATGGCAGTCCAGGAAAAATGATAATATTCAAGGAGATTTTAAGGAGTGTATGTTCAAGTCATATAGAATAAATACCATAAAAACTATCCATGCATTCCTATTGCCTCTGCAAGAGCACAAATTTAGAACATACATTGAATTATTGAATTGAGTTAATTGAATAGGCAGGAAGGCACAAAGAAAGAACCCTTAAATTTCTTTGACAGCTTCTATCGACTAAATGTATGACTTTATAAACCTCTGTATCTGACATATTGTGCTGGTCTTTATTCAACAAGAGTGATGTCAAATTTACATCCCTACTTACAGAAAAGAGCATTTAAATGGCGGTGAAATAGAAACATGAAATTCTTTATGGAAAGGTGCTAAAAGGGTGAAGTTTTAAGAGGGCTGCTGAGGGCCTTATTGTCTCACATCTCCATCCCTTGTTAAATCTTTCCTTCCCTAAGTACATTTCTGGCTCCAGGATGCTACACAACCCTGATACTACCTATACAGAATAAGGGGACTACTCTGTAGGGACTATTCCTGTAAAGGCTTCTTAGGGGTGTTGCAAAATAAATATTTTGTTTTCTCTGGTAGTTTGAATAATTTTATTAATATTTAAGGATTAAAATTGAAGAATGGTTTCTAGGAGATTTTCATTAAAATATTGGGTTGTTGGAAAAGTCATGACATATTTTTTTCTATGTTTTTCATTGCAAAATTGCGTCATGACTTTTCCGACAACCCAATATTTTACAATTTTATTATTGAGTAAGCTATTAGAACAGTGAAACTGAAAATAATTTTTTCCCTAAGATACAAGATTGAAAGTTTTTTATACACACTTCTTTTTTAGCTCCATATATAAGTGAGATCATATGGTGTTTGTCTTTGTAATCCACTCTGGTCTTTATCTTTGAATCACTTTTCCTCTGAATTCATAAGTAATATTTGTAAACTTTTATTTATACCAAAAATGTAAAAATATACAAAATATGTACTTGTATATTCTTAAAAAGGCATTTTAAAAAGGAAAGGAAAGAAAAAAGAAAGAAAAAAACCCCAAACATTTTTACTTATTCATACAACTTTTAATTCAGGTTATTTTCATTTATTTCAATGTAATTTTTGAAGATATGAGAAAAATTTAAACTTTGGAGCCCTAAAATATTTGTCCAATTTTAAAAATGGTAATGTTGCCTTGAAAAAATTTAAAAACATATTAACTATTGCCTCTCTCAAAACTATATGTTGTTTGTAAAATATTTTAGGCAGAATACAAATAGTAAATAGAGTGAAAACATTTTAAATGGATGATCTTACTGTAATAGGAAAAGGGAAAATTAATCTTCTGATTCACTGATTTGTTTATTTAAAATTATTATCAATATCCTAAAGTATTTTGCATTTTAGATTGCACTTAAAAAAAGATAATCACATGAAACCAGCTGAGTATATTTTTATGTTTTTGTCCATAAATACAGTATTATAAAATTCATGCCAGTTGTATATGAAAGTATTAAAATACTTATCTAGCTAGAACTAACTGGAAACATGAATATACCGTATTTGCCGGCGTGTAAGACGACTTTTTGGCCCTGAAAAATATGCCTCCAAGTGGGGGGTCGTCTTATACGCCATGTACACTTCAGATAGACT